ATATCTTATCACAATAAAAGGAAACGGATGCATATGCTATACTACTACTCCCTAAGGTTCTCCGGGCAGGCCGGGGCACTTTACCATTCAGAGTGATGAGCTCTTTTGAGAAAGCAGTGTGCTGAGTAGATGGCACATGTTGCGCCCATATCCAAACCACTGAGCCTATGCAGCAGAAAGGTTAATCTAATCTGTCAGGTTATGAAAACGGAGGACAGGGTTTGTAAAGCTGCAGTGAACTGTTATTTTAGGCAGGACAGTTATGTCTGTTTTCCAGTTTAATTAAAAAGCTCTAAAGTAGTGGAATTTGTTTCTTGCTTGTTATTTCCGTAACTCTGCAATAGCTGTCTGCATGGTAAAGAGAAACAATCTGGCTTCTAAATTGACTTTACTAGGGGAAGAGAAGAAAGGAAGTAGAAAAGACATAGATAAAGAATCCCTTAAAAAAGTGTTATCATGGAGCTGGGCGTGGTAGTGCACACCTGTAATCCCAACATTTGGGAAGCTGATTTTTGGAGGTTCAATGGTGGAAGCCAGTCTCAGGCTACACAGTGAGTTGTCAGCCTAAACTACTTAGTGAGATTCTGTCTCAAAAAGACAAAAGATGTTATCAGGGAAATAAGCAAAGCACTGCAGAACTTCAAGCAAATGGGAAATGACTAGTTTCTCCACATCGTGACAGATTCTTCATACCAAGGAAGTTAAGCAGACACCCTAGTGAGAGAGAGGAAAAGAGTGCAGGTTGTTAAGAGAACATCTATCACCGTGCCTACCTACCGTTTGGATTTAGGAGTCATACCATACCAAACATAGCCTACAAGAAGAAAACCACTCACACCCAGGTCACATACAGTCAGGTTTCTGGGTGGAAAGGATATAGGTGAACAGGAAAGAGGCTTAAACCTGAGGAAGGTGGAGGATTTACAAGCAGATCACTGAGATTTATCTTCAGCATCACCTTAGAAATTCTGCTCCAAGGAGACAGACCCTAGACTACTTGGGCAAGCATCCCCAGAGTCCGGTGTAGTGCCTGGCACTAAAAACAGGCAAACGGGAGCCAATCAGTGAGGTTCCAATTTCACTTCATAGCCGGGCACGGTGGCGCACACCTGTAATCCCAGCACTCGGGAGGCTGAGGCTGAAGGAGTTCGGGACCAGCCTGGGCTACACAGTGAGTTCCAGGTCAGTTTCAACTACATAGTGAGACCCTGTCTCAAAAAAAAAAAAAAAAAAAAAACCAATTTCACTTAATCTTTATTGAAAAGGATGGCCCAAGATGAAAGCAATACATTTCTGTTCTGGAGAGATACTGGTACTGAAAAAGAATTAAGCCATACTCTGAGATACCTATGAATCTTTATAATGACTAATTTTGGAGGAATTTTTAATGTAAGCTATAAATGCAAATAAATAAATTTTAAAAATCAACATAAGTAGAATTTATCAAATTGGAAGATAACGTCTTTAAAATTTTAAAAATCAAAACCAAACCAAAAGACAAGAGATTAGTTCAATCCACCAGCCATGAGTTCCAAGGCTATGGACATTTTGCCCTATCTTTACAGAAGGGATAGCACACTTACTCTCCGGCTGGAAGATAAACCCGTATGTCCAGACTATCAGCAGGGTCCACAGGACGCTCCATACAATGAGCTGCCAGGGCTCATACTTGGTACAATATCCATTTACATAATTCTTGGCTTTTGTGGAATATGCTTCCAAAATCTCGAAGTAAGGCTCAAAGGCCTTCTAGAAATAGAAGAGAAAAACTGAAACATTACATTCAGATAAAGGAAAGTCTGTTTTTAGTTTGTTCATCAATTCTGATATGATCACACCTCAACAATAATCTTATCAACCTCTACTCTACAGCCCTCAGCGCTTCTGTGTCAGTCACTCTGGGCTAACACTGCCACTTAGGAGCCACATGGACTTTGACTTCCTGGTTTCATAAAATAAGAAGGCTAAACTTGTGTCCACCCTAAACCCTTATGACTGCCGGTATTCTCTGACCCATCTCTTAACTCAAACTGATCCTCTCAACATGAATGTCATTTCTCCCCTCAACTTTATGTGTATCATTCCCACTCTCTAACCTAGTATTGGGCAGAATGGTTCTGTAAAGAGCCAGACAGTAAAAATTTTAGATAGTGTGAACCAAATATTCTGTTACAACTACTCACCTTTCCTGCTGTAGTTCAAACACAGTCATAGTGTGTAAATAAATGTAGTCATATCCCTACCCGACTTAATTACACACAAAGAAATATAAATTTTCTATAATTTTCTTGTGTCACAACCTCCCACCGTGCAATAATTTTACAAATGCAAAATCTTAGTTCACAGGTCATAAAAAGCAGGTGAAGGGCCAGATGTGACCTACACGGTAGAGTATGCCAACCTCTACTCCACTGACAGTAAAACTCTTCAAGTCAGGGCCATTTTATTATCATATGTATCCCTCATGATATCTAGCACAAGGAAGAAAATAAATCCTCTCCACTCTAAATTTACCAGTATATCTCATTTATGAGAACTCATCTCATCCTTTAAAGTCTTAAGTATGCATAGCTAATAGTTTGTAGAGAGCTTATCAAATCTGCCTTGAAGTCTATTTCTTCATCTCCCTGACTATAGTTCTTTATGGTTAGATCTTAAAAACTGGCCAGTTCTTACTTGTATTTACATCTCCATATAGTGTCCTGCAAAACAAGTCCACCTGGCCTGTTATCCTTTACTTACTCAAATTTTTAAAGTACTAAGCTAAGGAAACAGTCAAGGAAATATCATGCTTCCTTGCTGTCACGGAGCTTACAACCTAATGGGAGTGGTACCTACGTGTCTGTACATACACACACGTTCCTAAGTACACAGGCATACACACATAAACTACTAAGTAAAACTCCGGGAGAAAAGCTACAGAAGGACACAAGTACTGAGAGAGCACTGAGGAAGGTCTACCTGACTCTACTTGGGGAGATAACAATGAGAATAAAATTTAAGCTAGCTAAAATAATAAAACAAAATTCTCTAAGAAGAAAAGTTGAAAGAACAAAGTCAAGGGCCAGGGATTTAGCTCAGTGGTTCCACTGAATGCCTTGCAAACGCAAGGACCCGAATTCGATCCCCCATATCAAAAAAAAGAAGAACGAAGTCACACCAGGAAGAGAAAACACCTGCAAATGTATAAAAGGAAACAGAGAAGGGCAGAAGTTCTGTGTGGTAAGAATGACGCTACTGGAGGGCAGGGGTCCTTTCTCTCCAGTGCTAAATCCTCAACCCAGAGCAGAGTGGAAGCGGCTGACAGTGCCTGACTTATGAGTGAACCACCAATCAGAGAGCTGAAGCCGGAAGGACACGGACTCATTCTACCAGACTAAACATAAACTTCAAAGACAAAACATATAGCAAAAAGAATTCACCAATAGGAACTTTACATAAAGAAATCTGTTGTCATCTATTAACATTTTAATACACATTCATTTTTATTCCCAAAATTCCACTTTAAAGTATCCGCAAGCTTGCACCTGTATACAAAGCAACATGTTCAAGGATGTTCATTTTGGTATTCCTTGTAACGGCAGAAGAAAAACATAATAAACATCCCAGGAGGAATGGTTAAACTATAATACATATATTTTATGTACCCAGACTATGAAACAACGGAAAGACAGGTCTTTTTACATAAAAAAAATTCCCAGAACATACTATCGAGCAAAAGGAAGCAAAGTGCAGAAGAATAAAATAAAAGACATGGATTATTAGGCACGAGAGTAATTTTTTAAGAAAATAATTTGGTGGGACATAAGTAACGGGAGGACAAAGATGAGAGGCAAAAATTTTAGTTAAAGAGCTTGCTGAAAGTCCTGGAGAAATAAACCGGGTTCAACCTTAAACAGTATGACATTAGGGACAAAAAAATGATAGCTTGGACTTGCAAGACATTTCTGGAGGTGGAACAACTAGGGTTTGGTAATTTATTATTAATGGTAAATATGTAGTAGGATGAATACAGGTCATTCCAAATTTTCAAATAAGTTTGAGACTGTTTAAGTGATGTCACTACTGACTTTGGTAAGACTAGAGAAGAAAGGGAAGGTGAAGAAGGCAGAAGACATTTTGAGTTAGTTCCTACTGGACACACACGTATGCTAACAGTAAAAGTGCGAAAGCTTAAGAGGCCAGGTATTAACACGTGTTTCCTGAAACATTTCCGCCTGCCAAGGTTATGTCTCCTACGTTGAAACCTAGCCACTGATGGTATTGATGGACGGAAGATGGTATTGAGATGGGAGCCTTGGGGGCTGATTAGATCATGAAGGCAGATCAGGATCATCTTTTGACACTGGTAGCTCTAATCTGATCTCATGATTAGGATCAGTGCCCATATAAAAGAGACTCCAGAGAGCTAATCCTCTCATTTCTACCATTTGAAAATAAATTTTTATTGCTTATTAATCACTGAGTTTATGGCATTCTGTTACAGCAGCCAAGACAGACTAAGCCTACACACTTACTAATTAGACAGTGGCACGGGCAATTAACATGAGGCAAGTGTTGGGTTCCCTGGAGGGGGCTACAGAAGCAGCTTCTCTGCACCCCTGCACCACCATGCTTCTTGGGGCCATTCCCAAGAGTTCACTGTTGCTATCAACAACCTCGGCACTCCAAAGCAATGGTGGTACTGGTCAAAACCTGGGAGAGACCAGAGCAGTCTGTCATCATCAAAGGTATATGAGATTTCCACCATCACAAAGAACAGTCTAGTGTTAAAGCTGGGACCAAACTATCTGGGCAGATAATGTGTAGTAGGAATGGTCACTGAGATCAGCTTCTCTTTCAGTACCAACTCCTAACCTACCCAGAAATTAGAGGCTACCAGTGTCAAAAGATGAATATCGATATCAATGACTCTTCCCAGCACTGAAAAAAATAATAGATTTTAGGGAGACAGCAAAGAACGAGTAAATGCCAAATAACTTTTCTAAAGAATTAAAATTCAAATATGAAGACGTTCCTTACCAACGTTTTAAAATTAAATTCGTAGAACACATTTCCTTGGTAACTACTGTGATCCTTAAGATAGTGGTAATCCTTAAATTCAAAAGGGATACATTGAAAGGAGATATAGAACTCCAAAATCTCTAACTCCCAAGATAAAATGGTTCTGTAGCCAGCTTTTTAAGTAGGCAGCCAGTTGAACACAGACATTACATCTCTTGGCATCATGCTAAGTTCCTTCTCAGTTACTACAAACAACCTATGCAATCCCCAATGAAGAAGCAGCTCTCAACGCTGGCAGCTCACCGCAGAATCAGGCTCTGTGGGGTTATGTAGCCTAGCTCCTTGGGAAAAAAAGGAGGAAGCAGCTCCTTTGGGCCTTGAAAACAACACAAACCTCAAGCTGGGTCCTGATGCAATACTCCAGAAGCACAGAATCTAGGAGCAACATTTTCACTCTCCAAGCAGAGGCTGCAGAAGGAGACGGTGGGCCTAACCTTACAGACAGGTTTGTGCCGGAGCGTAGCCTCTGATACAAGCCTCCTGACCCAGTCAGTACTCAGTAACTTTCAATTCTTGATTCTCAGTGTCCCTGGGCACGGGATCACCTACCATGTTACAGTCCAGCGATTCCTCTAGTTTTCTTTTCACAATTTATGTTCTAGGCAGAACCAGTTTAGGTTCTTGGATATATGGCACTGATCACAACCATCTAAAATTATGCAGCTGGGTCATGGTTACAGATAATGTCCCGATGAAGATGGCAAAAGAACTTAATATAGTTTCTATTTCCCCACAACAGCAATAGTGCCATTCATTTTTACACAGTACAAAGTAAGCTTAAGTCTGTATGAGCAAAATCAAACCTAAGACAGCATCTTTAAAGTGAAATAATTATAGCATTATGTTTACTTTTAGCAGCTTTTTTCCTATGATGTTAGTGAATTTTTACCTCCCTCTCTGAAGCATCTCTCCCACTTAAGCTGTGCAGGACACAGTGGTAGCGGACTGAATCTGCAGAGGACAAAGGCTGGTCACTTGTAACTGGACTCGGCCAACACTGGTACTCTTAGGACAAGTTCAAAGATGCATCATATTACAGGTGATAAGAGCTATCTGCCTTTTGCAGAAAGACACTAAGGTCCAAAGGTCACACAGCTCAAAAATACCAGAGAAAGGACTGAAACCTTCAGGCTCAAGTGCACTGTTTTTTTCCACTGATCTTTTTCCCAGAAATAACCTACCAGTGGTATAAATCAGAGAACAGGCCCAAAACTGCCAATTCTCACAGTCCCTTCTACTTACACCCAGAGTCAAATTAAGGGCCCATAGCTCCACTACTCTCCCAGTCAAGAAAGACAAGAATGGCTGGGCATGATGACGCACGTCAAGAATCTCAGCACTTGGGAGGCTAAGGCAAGAGGATTGCTGTGAGTTTCAGTCCAGCCTGGGGTACACAGTGAGTGCAAGGTCAGCCTGAACTATAGAGCAATACCCTGTCTCCAAAAAAAAGGCCAACGATCTTTCCCTGCAAAGGTCAAACACTTTTAGGATGTGGGTGGCTATTAAATGGCTTTCTTAAACTGTAAGCTTCATTCTCCTCTCAATAAGCGACTTACATATACTATCTGGTTCCAAAAGAAACACTAAAAAAAAGTAGTTCAAGAAGTCCTTTAGAAGAGTTGTTTCAAAACCATAAATGTTATTTAATTTTAGGGGAAGTATATGGTTTGTTCTCGAGCTCCTAA